CCTGAAAAGATTTTCTGAATTAATGACATTTTTGCCTTAGTTGTTACAAAGGAGTCAGGTTAGTATATTTAAAATGGAAAAATGTAGTATAAAAATATTGTTACTGTGCCCATGTTTAGTTGACCTGATACAAATGTTTATCATCCAAAAATAGTTGGGGGCACAGGTCTCTGCTACTGCTTTTTTGTGGGTCAAAAGCTGAAAGGTTTGGGAACCACTGCACTTTGGTTCCCAAAGTTAGGCTTGGGACCCAATTATGGGTCATGAAGCACCTTGGATAATCTCCAGAAATCCGTTTAAAGGGTAATAAAATAATTGCTGATGTAATATTTTCCCTATAACTATTACAAAAACACACAAAAAAGTATAAATAAGTATTTATAATTGTGTATAAGCTGTTTAGATTGTCAAAAAGCCTGTGTTTTTAGGGTTATTAATAAAGTTCATGTACTCAGACCAGTAATATTTGGGGTCACAAGATTTTGCCATGAATATTTTGTGGGTCAGAAGATAAAAAGTTTGGGAACCACTGCTCTAGATGTTCCTCAACAATTTTGAGCAACTTCTGATTTAGCATTTCAAAAATAATGGCACTCACAAAACAGAAAATATAAAAAATTTTCCCCTAAATTCCTGTCTTTGTTGCAGCTAAACAGCTAGTTTTCAGAGACTGGTCTTACTTCAGGCTGACTACAAAAGTTCTCCAGATGTTCCTAAACAATTTTGAGGAACTTCTGATGTAGCATTTCAAAATGATGGCACTCAGAAAACTGACATTTTCCAATTATTGTTCCCTGAGTTTCTGTCTTTATTGCAGCTAAACAGCAAGTTGTCAGGGACTGGTCTTACTTCAGGCTGAACCTACAAATCCTCCAGACTGTCCTTAACAATTATGAGCAACTGCTGATGTAGAATTTCAAAATAAAATAACTCACAATATGGACATTTTACCACTATTTTTCATCTAAGTTGCTGTCTTTATTGCAGCTAAACAGCTAGTTGTCAGAGACTGCTCTCTCTCTTCAGGCTGACTATAGAAGTTCTCTAGTTGTTCCTCAACAATTTTGAGCAATATCTGATGTGGCATTTCAAAATAATGGCATTCAAAATATTGACATTGTTACTTCATGTGCCCCTAAGTTGCTATCTTTATTGCAGCTAAACAGCTAGTTGTCAGAGACTGGTCTCACTTCAGGCTGACTATAAAAGTTCTCCAGTGTTCCTCAACAATTATGAGCAACTTCTGATGTAGAATTTCAAAATAAAAGAACTCCCAATAAGGTTATTTTACAACTATATTTAATCTAAGTTCCTGTTTTTATTGCAGCTAAACAGCTAGCTGTCAGATACTGGTCTCACTTCAGGCTGACTATAGAAGTTCTCCAGTGTTCCTCAACAATTTTGAGCAACTTCTGATGTAGAATTTCAAAATAAAATTACTCAAAATATGGACATTTTACAAGAACATTCAGAATCTATATTCACCTGCTGCACTCTGTCTGACAATCCATATCAAAAACTGGTTGGTTGTCCCAAGGTTCACAAGTTGTTTAATCAAAATGGAATGGTTAACTGAATCAAAGGCTTTTGCTAAATCAATAACGATTGCTGCACAATACTGTCTGGAGTCCAGAGCAGAGGCTATTTCATCCACAACTTTTAGAACTGCTGTGACACATCCATGAACAGAACAGAAGCCAGACTGTGCAGAAGATAGTAAGTTGTTTGCCTCAAGATAGCAAGTTAGCTGCCTGTTACAGTAACAAGTCTCTGCATGAACTTAGATGCACATGATAAAATCGAGAGTGGCCTATAACTGTTCAGGTCAGTGCTGTCACCACCTTTATAGAGGGGATGCAACATTGCAGATTTCCAATCAGTTTGAATTACACCAGTATGAATAGACAGGTTAAAGATGTTTGCCAGAGGAGCTGCAAAAATAGATGCAGCAGTTTTAAAAAAGAAAGGCCCTAAACTATCTGTTCCAGCTGGCTTTTTAAAAGCATATGTCCCTTTTAAATAGTGGATAGTGGATTATGTGAGCATTTTTGTGACCAAATGAAACCTGTCTGGAATCAGAAGACTGACAACAAAAACAGGTACTTTAGTGTTAAGTAAAGAAGGTTGCATTATATCTTTTAGAAGGTCTAACTATTCACCCTTTAAATTGTACCAGTAATGAATGGGATTTAAGCAACGAGACACGGCAGTATTGTTGAATGTTACTCATCTCTACAGCCAAGACTTCCTAACAGGCTGTAATCCATCAGTTTTCTTCAGAGGCATTTTATTTTCTGCAAAATGATAACATTCTATGTGAAGTGGGAATGAAGAGTTTGAAGTGTGAAAATATAGGGGCTCACTCTGTGAAGAGAGATGTCGCATATAACTTTCTTTTTATGGAGAACTTGAATGAATCAGGGCAATCTGTTTCAAAAAGTACTGGTTCTTCTCTGTTCCAGGCTTATATTGTCCCTGAACTGGAGGGAAGTTTAAGCCCCCAAAGTGTTGTTTCCTATAATCTGAGAGGTCTAGGAATATGATTAAACAGAATACACATCTCAAGGAAAAGATTAATAAATGCTCATGTTTTTGTTGCTGGACATAGAATGCAACAAACAAAAATAAATATATTCAGAAATTAGACTGGGCTCAAATAGGCAAATAAAAATTACTTTCAGAAATCATTATTGCCCTTACCTTATGCATTCAAAGTGTTAACAAACTATTTACCTTCTCTACATTTAATTTTTGGGATTTGAACAATCCCTGTGTTCATCAAAATGTGTGTCTGGAGTTGAATATGTTGTGTAGTGCTGCTAAAAAGTGCCCAACGCCTCCAGCTGGACGCACTATGTTCAGACCGGGACACAGACTAGACACGCGTCTGAAGAGGGAGGAGCGTCTTGGTTTTTTTACAGTCTGTCCTCAGCAGGTGAAATAAAGATAAAATAAAGAAAATGGCTTTGAGTTATTTACTAAAGAGCAAGCGAACGTTGCGCACAGCAGATAATTAATTCACCAAATAATTTGGGGGGGTGGGGGTTGGGATTTGTTCGGTTAGTTTCGCCACTCCAGGAGCTGCGAGTTAACAGACTTTTTTTGTATTTTTTTGTCCCGAGCAGCTGACCCACATCGGTACTGATATATCCTGCCAAAAAATCCAACTGCAGATGGTCGATTTCAGCTAAAGATCTCCTGTCCGTCTGTTTTTGTTTAGTGGGCAACATTCAGGAAATTATCACGCGAAAAATGAGTCTCTCTGATTGGTTGTCTTTTTTTAATCACTTTAGTCAAAAAAATAACTTAATATTTGTTTCTTAATTTCATCATCAGTGATTTTTTTAAGTAAAGAGAAAATAGAGAAAGAGGGAAAAACAAAGTGAAACGTAATTAGAAAGACTGAAATAGCGATTAGAAGTATATCAAATATACACCAAGAAAACACAGGACCACAACCCCAACATCTGTCTGCTCACCTGAAAATAAATGGATAAATACATGGATGGCATGCATGCGTATATACACATGCCCATACATATATAAAGACATACATACATACATACATACAT